CCACTTATTTTGTAGGCTGAACGTATGTGTTAATGTGACCGGTCCCACTTTTAATTTGGATTAGTTATAAAGTCGCCACTATGTTAATCTGAAAGGAACACTTTTTAAGAAAAAGCAAATGAATAACACGTTCCAAACCTTGAAATTATGATCTTGTAAATTTAACAAACTCTGAAATGTAACATCAGATACAACAATGTCAATCATTAAAACATGTTCTCAACATTAAATTATAGATACGGGCGTGTGTGTGTTTAGCTTTGGTCCCTTTGTTGACACTGCGTCTGAAGAGTGGATTCTAAGACTAATTTCTATTTGTTGTGTTATCGTTGGTCATGTTGTATGATAATAAGTTGACGTCAAGCCAGACCAAACCAATCTTCAGGCACATGGAAATGTCTCAGTGCTCCTAAAGGCCAATCTGCTCTTGCATTATGCCTTGTGAAATCTTTGTATTTGTTCCTTCTTTAAATTTAAATTGATGTAATTTAAACCCTGACACCTAATGCAAATATGTTACTCTAACATTACAGAGGCCATAACATTACATGTTAGTGTCTTTGTTAGGAACACACTGTACGCCCAAGCTGGTCATTTACAAGTTACTAATCACACATGGAAATCCCTCTAAATATTTTATTGCAAAGTTGGCTAATACAAAAAAAAAAACATGTTGTGTTTTTTCTGTTTATGCATGAATTTTGCACTTTCAATTTAGCTTGTCCAACATGTCTCTCACCACCTCTTGAAGTTGTTTGAGAAGCTAGATCTTCACACGTACGCTGTTTACATCAGAGGCAATCACATTTGGACTTATACGAACTGAACTTCTCTATAGATGTAAATAAGACTTATAACTCACAGCAATGCTGGCAGCTTTCTAAGGCTGTACTTTGTCACAGAGGTGGTTTGAGCTAATGTCAGCTTGCCAACATGAGATGCTCAGCACGTTAAATGTTCACTCTCTTAGTTTAGTGTGTTGCTTCTCGTATGTGTACTAAACAAAAGGAAAACATCTCATTAGTAGGCAGGTATTTCATTAAAAAAACCTTACTATTGTAAAAATTCAGATTTTTTTATCGGATGATGGCGCTACAGGAAAAGTGATAATCAAAGTTAGAAGATTATAGCTTATTCTAAGAGGTCATGAATATCTGCACCATATTGTAATGCAATCTATTCTATTGTTATTTAGACATTTAACTCCAAACAATGTCAAACCAATGGTGGCGCTGAGTAAATGTTTTAAAAACGTAATCGCAATGCATGATATTTTAGTCTGGACAAAGGAAGTAGTCCTACAGAACTGACAACAGGCCGATAAAATCCAAAATTCGGTATGAACAAATAGAGTAAAAAGGTTGCGTTACAAAAAACATAAATATGGACACTATTTTTTAAATGAGCAGATTATTCACAAGGAAATCATTGTTGCAACCCCACTTGACAATATGTCCTACAAACTGAATTGTCATGCACATGTTCCTCAGCATCGTGTACAGTACGTGGTTGCAGGTTCACCTTTTTTATTTGTTTGTTTCAAACCCGGAAACATAACCCTTTTTACAGCAGTTTCTCTCCGATACAGAAATGATCAGTGAGCGCTCAGGTATCTTGTTAGAGCTTTGAAGCGAGCTAACAGCAGGTTTTGGTGTCATGATGCAGAGTATGCTGCGTGCCTTGAGGTGTATTATGCTCATGAAATACAAATAAGATTAGTGTCCTTTCTCATATGATAAAGCAATTCCATTGTTCGCATGCAGAGCAAGACTGCAGGCTGTGTTGAGTGTAAAACACAGATACAGGTGATTTAGAGAAATGTGTGTGTTTGTGTTTGAATAAGGAAGGAAGGAGAGTGGGAGTTAAGAGGGGATCTATAGGAGGAAGGCAGAGACTCAACACTTGCATCTGGCTATACTGATACACCCCCTGTGCTTCAGTGAAGGTCTGATAGGGATCAGATTTCATAACAGCCCAATAACACCCTCTAAGGGGTCTCAACCTCAGCTTTTCTATCTCTGCAAGTGCTTGCATCATCTTCACCTCAACAATCCAGCCCCTGTCAACAGCCATCCACCCGTCAACCGACTGATATTGACAATGAAACACGAGGCAGGATCAGCGGGTTGGAGTGAATATGTGCACACATGCGTGTAAGGTTGGGTGAAAGGTCCAAGAGTGGGCACTCGTTCCAACACCACCACCCGGAGAGCAGCTCGTTGTGAACCTGGTAGCTATACTCTCACACGGTGGGATAAAGACAGATTTCATGGGAGCGTGGAGAGGAATACAAAGAGGCAGCCGCACAGAAAGAAAAATGTATAATGATCCCCGTTGTCACAGCCATGACTTTTGGACAGCTCCACTCGCAGCATGCTGCAGAGGAGATGGAGAATTGTAAGCCTTGTCATGCATCATAAATGTAATACCATATGGGAATGTAGCCCTCACACGCAGAAGAGAATAGGACATTTGTGCGCCTCATAAAGGAGAATGTATTGCCTTTTACGAGGTAGCGAAGGACATATTGTGTGGCAGGCCTCATAAACATACACGTTTCTCTTATGAGTTTTTCTGGGATTTGAGGGAAGGCTGTATAGAATAAAAAAGTAGGATTAAGAACCGGATAAGCAAAGACACTATTTCCATTGAAATGGCTGTACTGCTTGAGAAGGGATGAGGATGAGGAGAAGAGGACGAAATGGAAATAGATAATAAATCGAAAATAAGATGATGTGATCTGGGATCTGAATGTGAATGGAAAGGAGGTTGAAGGTGCAGGCAAAAATAATCATGTATGGGATGTTTGTGCTGATAGATACAAGATCAGCATGCATACCATTCCACTCACCCCTGCCCCCGCAGGGCTCTTCGGTGGCAATCTCATGCCTTTTTTTTCTCTTAATATCTGCCACAGAGGTATCAAGCAAAAGGGAATTTTGTGCGTGTGCAGGAGTTTTCATCTCGCTGTCTCTGGTGGGATTGTTAAAGCAGACAGTGTCTATAGATCTTTGGAGGTCACAGCATTCAGAAACCTCCATTTGTTGGTGCCATCATCCCTTGGTGACAATAAAAGACAATTGGTGTGTGTGAATCAGCTTGTGGCAGGGATCTGGACCCCTGTGCCTCAGGGTGAAGACCCTATCATCATCCTTGCTTGCTGCGCAGGTCTGCCGAGGGAGCAGCAAAGCTTAAGACATCATGCCCAGATTTAGCAGCGTTACTCTCTGTATCTCTGGCTACTTCTCTGTCCTCTCCCTGTGACTTAGCACAATCTGCAGAGAGACTGATCAATGGATCACACCAACAAGAGGTCTTGAGGCCAATTAGGCCTGGCAAGCCGGTGTCAGGCGTGTCAATACTGAGGCTTGTCTGCCTTCAGGAACAATGGATAAGGAATACAATTGGATATATATGTGAATGTGTGCATGTGTGTGTGCTTGTGTGTTTCTGTGTGTGCTCTGCAGCTTCTGATTTAAATTAAAGATCATCAGCCCATCCAATAGAAGTTCTAGCACATCTTAAGCTCTTGACCGCTCCCCATTTTCAGTAAATGCCTCCTTCACTGTCGGGTCTGCTCCTACATACCAAACAGAGCAGAGAGGTGTGATGAAGGGTGCTGATCAAATGTCATTGTGCAGCTTCCATGCACAATACTTTAGCGCCCTCTGTTGGTGTGTTAAATTACAACACTTTCTTTTCTAAATATTGCACTTTTTTTTACTTGTTTCTGAATCACAGTTGATGCAAGTGACCCTAAGTGCAAACAATTTCAACTAGCTTCTGACAGAATTTTTTTTTGCGTTTTTCCTGAACCTAACATATTACAATATTACTTTAATTTCCCCTTGCCTCGAGCAAAAAAATCCCTCCAAGTCCGTCCAATTCTGAATACAATTTATTTCTGTCTGATACCTATCTTGGATTAATCATGAAGGTGAATTCATTAACTTAACTGCAAGGTTTATGTGGTGAAAGATCGAGATGTGGTGAGGGTTCACAGAAGGGGAGATACAATCCAATTAAATCAGTATTGGCTTCCAAAAGACTCCTGGCCAAGTAATAACTGAGAACCTCTTTCTCTCACACACAACCTCACAACCACACACTCACATACCCCCACTCTCTCTATGACAATCAAGTTAATTAAAGTAGTTGAACAATCAGGTACTCTGAGTAAAGGCAGAATTAGTCACCCTCAAGCCGAGCACTTTAAATCTTAATCAGACATACACTAATTAAACTTCATTTCATCAATATCACCTAAAAACTAGTATGTTGCTCTCTGGTGCTTATGTGTGAGGTTGTTTACGTATTGACACCAATGTGCCTTTTATGCATGTATGTTAACAACTTTAAAATATCCCATGCATGATTGTTTCCATGGTGTGTCCGTCTCTAACTGTGCACACAAAGCTCTCTGTTAGTATAAAGCAATACTTATTATATAGATATATTTTTAAATACATTTGGAGCCATCTTTTAATAGACAATTTTAAAAGAAATGTTTTTTGTTTTAATTTCAACCTTCAACAAAATAATGTTTTAAATATAACATTGGAACATTATGTATTAAATTGACATTATTTACATACACAGTTTATTCGTAGTTGGTTTTGAAGGGCCTGTCTTGTGTATACTGCGACACCAGATGGTAAAAGAAAGCTAATGCAAGAAACTAAACAAATCAAGCCAAGGGAAATCAGGCTTCGAGCTTGTTCGTCAAAGCTTGACTAACCAGTTGTGTCATAACAAATACTGCTCTGGGTATCTTAAACACTTTGCATGTCAGTTCAGACCAGGAAGAGGAATCCAGCCATTCCCAAACTGAGGGGCTTCAAACTAGGAATTCAGTTCAGGAAACATGCAGACAGGCTCCGGCATGCAATTTGTTACATTTTTGCAAGAAGTTAAAAACTTGGATAGTGAATGCCAGAAGCTATCAAGAAAATGGGGATTTGTGTACCTTGTAATGCTTTCAGGAACTACCCACTTCACTCAGATGATATGAATAGGGAGAAAATTGGGAGCAGCAGGAGTAGTATGGTGTTACGGATTGGAAAAGGAGAATGGACAAAAAGATTGTGACCTCACTTCCTGGTAAATATCAGTCCCAAAGACGTTGCCTGTGGTTACCAGTTGCCTTTTCTTTCCTTCTGTTATCAGTGTTGTAAAGTTTTACAGCACTCACCTCATGGGGGTTTAAGGTTCAACACACCTTAGCTGCATGGTCCTTTCCTCTTTCCGGATATGTTAAGAGTCCGAGTAAAGATCAGGACTGACGTTTGGAACATAAACAGGTAAGCTTGTTTCATTATTAACACATTTCTGCCACATCAGTTATTATCTAATGGGTGCTTATAACATAATTAAAGTTTTATGGTTTACAATAATATTGTATTGTTTGTTAACATTTATATCAGACGTACAATCGAAGCAAAGCCTATATTTTCTCCAAACATATCTTTAAGATTTATTTTGGTCTGTTAAGAGTCTAATAGACCAAAATACCGGTCGTGTACCGGGGGTTGGGGGCCACTGTGTACATTAGGCATGTGCAGACAAGAAACAAGGAGAGGAAATATGTTGCCAGCAGGGAAAAGGACTAGGCAATGCAAGGTAATCATTGACTGAGCCAGACTGTTGACATTTTCGCACATAAAAAAGAACAGCCTGCATTCACGGAGAGATCAAACCCATAAAACAACTCACTTTAATGCCTGTCAATCAACACTGAGAACAAAAGGAAAAAATAACATGTGGGTTGAAAATGGCTATTTCTGCCGCTTAAGCACTCTCAAGGACATTTATTCCACTTGTGGAGTTGTAGAGGTGTTAAGTACATGAACAAACAGATCTTTCTCAATCAATCCGAAGTTAAACCGAGTGTGCTTAAACAACACAAGGGTTGTCAAAATGACTGGGTTGTTGCATGGGAGCTCCTCTCACTGATGACTGAGAGCACCATCGTTTAATCAGGCATTATATACAGCGAGGAGTATGGCAAGCCGATTTAGCTTTTATTCATTTCTGGAGGATATTAAAAAATCAATTCTTACTAGTAATAATGTTTATTTTTCTGATATCAAAAATCGAATTTTAACTAGTTAGAATGTGTATTCTTGAAATCAGAAATGTGATTTTAACTAGTGAGATTTGCATCGTTTTTCTCATTCATTTCAATGGGAGTTGGAATTTTGAACTAGTTCAAATGCCAATTTCTGATATCAGTAATTCAATTGTTGACATCAGAAATACAATTTGAACTAGTTCAAAATCCTTTTTTGATATCAGGAATTCAATTGTTACTAGTTATAATTCCATTTTTGTTTATATCTAGTTACAATTGAATTCCTGATATCAAAAAAGGATTTTGAACTAGTTCAAATTGTATTTCTGATATCAACAATTGGCATTTCGACTAGTTGAAATTGAATTGTTGATATCAGAAATTGGCATTTGAACTAGTTCAAATTCCAACTCCCCTTGAAATGAATGAGGAAAAACTATACAAATCTCACTAGTTAAAATCGCATTTCTGATATCAGAAATAAACATTACAACTAGTTACAATTGAATTTCTGATATAAAGAATTTGCATTCTAACTAGTAAGAGATATGTTTTGATATCCTCCAGAAATGAATAAAAGCTTCAGCTTGCCATAGAGGAGGGACCTGTTACCAAACGGAGAACACGCCAACAGACACACAGAAACACACACACAACTCCACAGTCTGCATTGAGTTCCTTATGTTTTTCATTCTTCGCAGGTTGAGGGGGTTTATCTGAAAGCTGAATGTCCACGCACCACACAGTAATCATGTTTAATCCAACAAAAGGTGAGTTGTTTGCAGTTTATGAATGAATGAATATAAGAGTGAATGTATGAATGAGTTTGAACGCCAAAAATATCTAAACCAGGGATGAGCAGCTCATTAATGCAGGGTCCTGTTTTGCCTCATGTGTTTTTTTCATCATTTATCCAGCAGTATTTCATCTTGAAACACCTTTTGTTTTTCTTAATTGTTGTCATTAATCAATTAGCAAAGAATGCACAGCACAGAGCATGTATTTCTGGTTAGACACTCCTTCATTATGCATCAATAAGCTCACCATATAAATTCCTAAATGAACACGTGTTATGTACGACAGAGTATACCTGTAATTTCAGTTCAGTTCAACATTATTGAGCAGAAATGTTCTTAACCAAGAACGATGTCCGTAAAGATTAGTCCCTTGAGCATTTTCTCAGATTAAATCTGTGAAATATCTATTGAGCTATTGATTTTATGTTATGTTTTTGCTATTAGAAGACTGGTTAAAGATATTAACTAATGTTTTTCAGAATGTAAAATTAAATATTAAATGAGTTATCCATGTTGTGTCCCGAATTTCTTTTCAGATGATATATATGCATATGCATTGTCGAAGACCTTGACAAAAGTTTCATCACCTGCCACTGTAGGACTCTACTCTTCATGTCAGAATCGACTCAACATGATCCTCGGACAAATGGAAGGTATTTTAACACTCTCGGTGCACCAGCATGTCGTTTCTTTTGACTGCTTACATCTTTAAATGAAAACTTTAAGCACTCAGGCAGTGTCTAGACTCTATAGGAACCTCATATTAGAATAGATTCAACTTTAATGTCATTGCACAGAGTACAACAAAATGCAGTTTGCATCCAAGTGCAAAGAGTAGTGAAGTGCATTAGTTTTCAACAAATGTACATAACAGAACAAATATAAGTTTTAGGATCTTATCTCGAAAACGAATAGGTTGGCATCAAGTCTACAACTTCAACCGTTTGCATGCAAAACTGACACCACAAAGTACACTGTAATGATGACTGAAGTTTTTTAAACAACGGTATATGTTGACTGTAAAAACTGCACATGCTAATTAAATGCTATGGCAGCATAAACCTAATGTTTATTATTTTGCACTGACATAGCCCCTGCAGTGATAAAAATCACTGAGGTACTTCTTGGCATATGAATGGGCTGTGCACCACCTCAGCGCCGGCTCATAGTTAAATGATTTCTTCACAACTGACTGACTGGAAAGTAGACATTGTAATTCTGCTCCGCAGGCCTCTGGGGGATCTTTGTGTTCAGTACACATACCATTATTCTCTGAAACACTGTAGACAGCAAAACAAATCTAAAACAACAGTGCATTCAGAAAGTGTTAGCACCTCTTAACTTTTTCAAAGTGTGTGTTTCATCTTTATACTAAAAAATAATTTATCAACGATTCTACACCAGTGTTTCCCACACAAAGACTTGGGCTGGCCACCTTAGAAATGTAACAGAGCTTAAGACGTCACCTAGTATAATACTAGAAGACGCAAACACAGTCACCGTGTTAAAGTCTTTATAGACTGTGCTCTTGGAAACTTCCAATACAGTCCATTTCAATTTTCCATGCTTTTCCCATAACTGTGCTTGGACACAATATTGTCATGTTGGTTCAACTGAATTTACCACCGGAGGACTCCAATCAAAGTTTGGAAAGAACCTATGGAAACAGATGTTCAAGACAAATGAGGGGCATCTTTGCTAAATTGCAAATACCGAAAGGTTGAATACTTATTTGGGATATTTCATATTTTTGATACATTTGCAAACATTCCTAAAATCCCATTTTTACCTTGTCATTATGGGACATTAAATGTAGATAATAATGGGAAGGAAATAATTAAATCAAAACTTCATGGAACTTCAACGATAGCTGAGGATTATGGGTAGTTAGATATTTTCGCCAATCAAAACCTCTGAAAAAAGAAATGTGTCTCTCAGAATTGAAAGGGAAAAACTTATGGGAAAAACACAAAAGCATTTCACACAATTTAAACCAATTAATGTTGTGTAATTAACAAGGATAAACTGGTGNGGATTCTGGGTAGTGTAGTGTCTTCGGAAACTGTAGTGTCTAAACTCCGAAAAAACTATTTGTTTCTCTGAATCGAAGGTTAAAAACACAAAAGCATTGTACACAAATTAAACCTATCAATATTGTGTAATCAACAAGGATAAACAGATGTTTTTTAGTGGATGAGTAATGCACATATCACTGTGTAATCATTTGACAGTGAGGGGAATACTTTCGGTTTTATTGTGAAAACTTCGAGACCGGAAAAACTGTTTTCACCCCGTGAGGGTTGACGCTAACTTTACATGGAAGTTGCCGCATATACACGTTCTCCTGGCGAGACCTCAAGTAATCTTCGTAATATCTATCAAACTATAGATCCTACACATCCACTGAACGTAGATTATAAAAGTACAATATACACTTCTCGCTAGAAATCTAATAAAAAAGCATTTTAATGGCCAAACTATTCCACAATTTAGTATTTTCCAGAGAGGGTTATTTGTGAATAAACGACCCTCCGGAGCTTTTGCAATCAACGGGAGCATGTTGTTTATTACACGACCACTAGAGGTGCTACACTTTAAAACGTGACTCTGGGTCGTATTAAGCTGCTGAACAATCGACCTATATGGTCGTTTTTTGTAGGAGGACAGGCTGATTAATTCTCAAGATTTATCTTTGTGCTTTGTTTAATAAAAAATAGCCAAGCAGTTCCTGGAGGATTGTCAAGCTTCACAGAGCACGACTACATTTGGCAAGCTCTATGCCCACTGTAAAAACCACAACAACACAAATGGTAAATATAATCATTAAAACTAGATAATGTTGGCGGCCATATTGCTTATTGCCCATGAACCAGGGCCTCAACCCTTTCCATTTGATCTGATCTATCTTTAAATGAAAACAAATAAGATTCAAAACTAGTATAGTATATATAAAAATGTAAATATATTATTAAAGCCGCATGATTCTGCGCTTGCATTATTAACTATCATTTTAGATTTATAGTAGAATTCTTTTTGGGAAAATGTGGAGAATGAATATACCAAGTCAGTATAAAGTGTGTGTGCATGTTTGTGTGTGCATGTGTGTTCTGTGCTCAAACATTCTGCCCAACTTTCCCCTTTTTCTTATGCCAACTTGTAGCGTTCAGAGGACATTAAATAAGTGTATGAGTGAGTTTGTGCGTGCGTTATCGTTTTTGTGGAAAATATTTGTCTATAATCGTATTTTGTGTGTTCATCGGTTTATTTACAGTGCAATTGGGGGCACCTGTGTAACTGTGTATATGCATTTACTGCACAGTGTGTGTGTTAGTGTGTGTGCGTATGAGACAGGTATAAGGACAGACATATTCCACTCTGTACTAATGAGCTGGGCGTGCTGCTCTGTCTGATTTGTCTCTCAGGCCCTCCTGATGCAAACCACTAAAAGGTTTGAATTATATTGAAATTGTAAACAGAGCTGTGCTCTGCTGCCTGCATCTCAGGACATTATATATAAAACATACGTACTTCACATTACTCTTCACTAACTCTGAATTGTGGTTCTTGTGCTGCCTGACAAGTCTGAAACTCTGTCACCTTTAAATCTGTTAATATAAACATACTTTGAGAAGCAGAAGCTTATATATGACATAAAAATCAAGCATTGTAATAATAGGGATTTTTAGTGTATTCTTTAAGACATGCTGTTTAATATCACACAAGATAAGTGTGTTTCAAAACAGCTGCATTTTGCAAACATTCTAAAAACATCCTTGTGTCAAAACAAGCCATTGTAAATATGTTCTCTTTTCAATGTCAGATTGAATGTTTACTGTGCACAAACTGCAAATTGTATTGCCTGATTTAAAGGAGAGCATCATAAAGAAATGGCCTGCTGTGTGATGGTGGCAGTTAGAAACCATGGAAAACCTTCAAAGGCTGCCATTTCACAACATCCATTTTCATATTAAATGGAGAAAGTGCGCAGTCATTTTGAATATGCACATCATGATACCAATGTACATGGAAATGTGTTGCTGCAGCTACAAAAACAATGATAAATCTTGAGACAAATGTCCCACCATAAACATATCACAATGCAGCAGAAAGCATGCTATGACTATCCATGAAAGCAGTTTCCAAGCCATGTCTTTCTGCATGAAACAAGTACCAGCCTCCCCCCACTATCTCTGCCAGCGTAATTAGAATACGGGACCTCCTTGTGCCAAGCGCTCCACCACGTCTTCACCAATTGTAGCAATTTCTACTTTTTGTGCCCAAGGGTTTCTGAGGCCCTTTGAAAAAGGAAAGCCCCTTTTGTTACAGGAGAGGGAAGGAAAGAAAAGGAGAGAGCTAGAGATTTGACATGGAGGGAGAAATACATGTTGTGTGCAAGCCTGCATGTACGTCTCTGCTGCTGCATCTGTGCATGTCCATTTATCCATCTGAACCATTGTTTGCCTGTTTGGGTTTGAGTATGAGTGGCACAGCTGTTCAAAGAGGAGACCAACTGGTAGTGGGATTTGTGAGAGAAGCCATTTGCATACACCATCTCTGAAAATAAAATGAAGTCTTGAAAATGTACCCGCTAGTCACAATTTAGTAAAAAAAGTCAAGGAAAAATGGTGCACACACATTCTAATGGCCATCTAAAATGGCAAAAAAGTATGTAAAAACTATGATTAAAGAATGTTTTCCTAACCATGCAGTCATTAGATTTCTTGTTTTTATATTTTATGACATCAAGTCAAATTCCTAGTATGTGCGAACCTACCTGGCAATAAACCTGTTTCTGATTCTGATTCTGATCAAGATCTACTATTCGACTACTAAACTACAATTATTCAAAGATTGCAATAACTTGTGCAAGTACTATGTCAGAATATGATTGTAATTTAAGTGTTGCTACATTTTATGATGGCGACAATGCCTCAATATGAACCATGACATCAAACAAACGTCAACATCTGTAGACTCTTACACAGTATTTATGTCCATTTGTATTCTGATTACGCCTTTAGAGACTTTGTTGATGTTGCCTGAAGCAAGAGAGACATTATCATTTATCACCACTTATCCATTTGCAGTCGTAGACTTAAAAAAAAGAGAGAGAAGTATTGAATGACTGCACCAACGGGGAATGAAAATAGCATTGAGCTCAGGATCAATCTCAAGGAGGCTTAACTCTTCCGCATTCTGATGCCCCGATAAAGCGAGAGAGGAGCGTGTGGGAGGAAAGAGAGAGAGAGAGAGAGAGAGAGTGTTCAAGCCTTTCTGCCTGGATCTGGGGTTGGTACACAAAATCCGTTTGAAGATGAATGCAATTCGATATACCAGCTCAGGCAGTGTAGTTAATTAAGGTAGGAGAGTTAAGGTGAATACTGACATCAGCAGTATTGTACTTGATTGTGCCTAATGTTGAATAAATGTAACAGTAACAGATTTCTATTAACTACAATAGAAGCCTTTTTGTTCCTAAGTTGAACCAGTTTTTCGATAGCTCGATGCTTATCCTCCTGTGTGGTGTGCCGGTGTGAGTGTGTGTTTATGTGTGTGTGTGTTGGAATCATCCTAAAGGCCAATCTACCGTGGATATGGTGTTATATCATCACTGTTCATGTATACTGTAAAGCAGGGAGGGGTGAAAGAAAAA